AAACAAACTGGTTGCAATGTCATCCTGACACCGAAAGAGGTAGATAAATTTTCAAGGTCAGTTATGCACAGACGCAACCCAACTAGAGCTTATCAAAAACGAAAAAAAATGTCTCCGCTGTACTGGGTAAAAAAAGTTTTATCGTAGTGAAACAACATGTTCTTTGGCGTTAAGAACGGCTTGCATTTACCTGACAAAGAAATCGTGGGTCTGGGGATGGAGAACCCCGAAATATGCTAACGAAAAAGGTACGCCACTAAGTTTAACAGATAAAAAACATCTCGGAATAGAAGCGCTTTTCCCTTGACATTCTTCATGTTACCAAGCACGTAGTAATAGTAATTACGTCTCGACCAGTTGGAAGACCTATCAATACAATGGTTATCATCAGGACTATGTGTTTTTATTGCATTATCGTCGTGAATTTTGATTATAAACCGTTCTATAGTTTACAAAATATGAGAACGGCGCACAAGGTTTTCAGTGAGGTACGTTTTCTTTTAGGTTCAAGAAAACCACAACAAAGTTTTGTTCCGAAAAAGAAAACTTACCAAAATCAGCGACAAAGGTCATATTAGTCATCGATATTCATGCGTTACTCAACGGAAGAAGCAAATATGCCATTTAAGGAACAACCTAGAAATTACAAGCCTTGGCAGAAAAAATTATGCCTATTCAATGTTTCCCACTTTATTCAGAAGTTAGTTCTATTTGGTGTTTACTTTTTGCTACCATGACAAACTTTCTATTGACTGAAAGGCGTAACAGGCTAAAACGAACCGTTAAATATGATAGAATGCAACGCTAGATGAAAGTTTATAATAACTGTGGTGAATAACTATTTGGATAACAGCACTGTTCGTTGGCGAATTGTGCAATACGTTCAATTATATCCACAAAAATGAAACACTATTGAAAAAAAACGAATTGTTTTGATTTGCTTCGCTTACTACTATTACTAGAAGTACTACTCTGTTTCGATTGCGACAGTTTGAGCGAATTTTCCACCTGCGTTGGTCCACGCCAACGTCGTTTTAGAGTCTCGTTTGACGCGGCTTCGCCAAAGTTCGATCCCAATGGGTTCGGTGCGGTTGGATGAATCGGAGTGCACAGAGGACTGGACGTGCGACTGGGCAAATCAGCTAAACAGCTGGTCAACAAGTGAACCAAGGCTTTCCCATCATCTGACAGCGCCGCGTGTAATCGGAACACGAGGAGACTTCCGACACCGGCTGAACCGGAACGTCGACAAACGAATCCGGATGAGCTTGGCACTTTTAAATCAGCCATAGGACGCGTAGTTCGTGGACGCTTCCTATCTGGTGACTGGATGCCACGATCTCCATTGTGAAATGGTGAAGTGGTCCAAGCTGAGGCATCCCGATGGGAATCTGGATCGTCTGATTCCGCAGCACTCTCAGCATCAGAAGGTTCGGTGCTGTCCATCTGCGGTTAAAATGAAGCGGATAGTGAAAATTGAAAGTAGGCAACAATTGTTAGAAAATCCCAAGAACAGCAAAAACGAATTAACAATCGTTTTCTTCAAAAACTTAGGTAAGACTGTATGAATCTATCATTTACCGCACACAAATAGGCTCAAGTAACTGCAATTTGCATGCCAACTAAACTCTAACCAAGCAGTTCTAAATAGATACGTTTAGTTACACATGCATGGAATACCAGACTGGGTGAGAGATTTGGATTACAGTTATCGAGTAGTAAACTATGCTTTTCAGATCAAACGAACTGAGTGTTTTTTATCGAAGCACCAGCATAAAGAGTTTATTTAGTACTTCTGGGGAGCCCTGATGTGAGCTGGTTAACACCCTGGTAGCGCACGCATCATTCATACGAAGGGTCTGGAGCTCAAATCGCGNGTGAATACACACAACAGATGAAATCTAAAAGGAGCATGACAAGTGAGTGATTGACGAAATCAACTGGTTTACGTAAAAAAACAAAAGCATATTCCTGTATTAATCGGCCGCATAAATGCATCACCAGATTCCAGAAACTGACAGGGCATCATATTTGTGAGGTTTCCAACTCCGTCAACGGTTGTGCACGATATATCTCTCCTACCACTCACAGCGGCTGGTCGCGTATGAAAAATCAACTGTCACCCAACAAGCCGGTAAGAAAACGGCCACCAGAAGCCAGAGTAAAAAATCTCATCAGAAAGGGGTATGTTGTATGTTTTCATGACTGATGTGCGCTAACATCCGGCAGTCGAGTGAAGAGAATCGCGTCTAGCTGAGTCACGTTCACTCTCCCAGTCAGCCCTATTCACAGTGATCGACGGTCGAAACGCGGCACACCGCGGTCACAGATTATATAGCAACAAACGTTGCTACGTGTGTTAGAAACCTCGTAAACTGACAACTGGCAAACATAGTATCATTCAATAATTTAGGAGGAAAGTTATGGTGGGGTTTTCTGCAATGCGCAAGTTTTTTCTTTAGTCCGATAATCACCTCGCCTCACCGCAAAACAACGTCCGGACCCTGTTATCACAGAGTATTATTCATCAGTAAAACTAATGTGCTAAAAAGTGTAACGTTGAACCAGGTAAAACCTTAGCAAGCATAGAATATAGAAAGATAAGACGGATTACATCTAGTCTCTGTCTTCCCATCTCTCTCTCATTCTAGCAGGGTTATTCGTCAAAAGGAACCAGACTATGATGAATCGAGCGAAACAGATTAACAAAAAAACGAATGACTCAGTTCACGGAAGACATGAAACAAAATCTGGACGGGATTTTTCAGCAGAATAGAATATCAGATCAAGATGTTTGTCACAATTTTCAACAGGGCTAAAATGAACAAAATGGCTTTCTAGGAAAACGTAGGAAGCAAGAGAAAAGAGAGCATATAGCAACACAATATCAGTGTTTCACGTGATACATGACGAACTTTCACGATTTTCTTTCCGTATAAGACAAATGTTTTCAAAAAAGATGAAATAAGTAGGAACTTCGACAGATGACGTAAAAAAATCATCAAATGTCAGCAAATTGATTGCTTGCAAAGAGAAGCCAATAAAATAAACTTCAAGCTGAGATTTTGCTTACTGAAAAACAAACAATTATATTATTAAGCTGCATGTGAATCAAAACATCCTTGGGGATATACAGAATGAGAATGTGGTGAGGTTGATAGGATTTGAACACCCCTACCTCGGGTATCTCCCCATATACTCCATCCCCAACGCTCACTTTAAGCATTATTAGTCAAAACAAACACAGGCAACTAAGATGAGCACGGGAGCTGTAGTTTGACAGCAAGAAAACTACGTGCATATACGATTTAAAATCTCATCGGGTCATCCAAATGAAGCCCAGAAATTGCAATTCTAACTATTGTGAATAGCAACTGAGCGGGAACAAAAGCGATCGCTCTGAAAATGGTGGATACCTGGTAATAGAACTAATAGCTTTGCACTAGGTACTAATGGGGGATTTCAGATACTTTGGAAGAGTGGTGGTAAGACAAGCGTGTGATTGGATGCGAAAAGCGATATTGACAACTATCGAGAAGACTGACGCTTCTTCATGCAAATGAAGCGTGAAGTGAAAATCTAGGAAGCACAGTACAACTGTTTGACCTGATTTGGTCTTATCATCGATGCGAACCCATCAACTTAACTGGGGATCGAACCCAAGACCTTACGGGCAGAACGCCAGCGTGCTAATCACTCGATCACCGAGCGAGTGATCAGACCGTTTTTCATTTTTTGATCAGATCGAAACAGCTGTGCATTTTAAGCGAGCACAGGAGGCGTGAACTGAAAAGCCAGGAAGCACTGTACAGTTTTTTCGATCTGGTTGGAAAATGAAAGACGGTCTGATCAGCTGCCCAGTAGCCGAGTGGGTAGCATGCGTGTGTTCTGCGTGTGGGGTCCGGGTTTCGATCCCCGGTTGGATCAATGGATTCGCACTGCTGATGAAACCCAACCAAGTAAAAAAAGCTGCACAGGGCTTCCTGGCTCTTCAATTTAAGCTTTATTTGCTCTATACACGACGAATCCTTTTCCTTGAAATTGAATCAACTCCTCCATTACTCTTATATAATTTCTTTATGCATTTTATTTCTCGAATTATCTGCCTTTTGCTACCAATTACCTACCGTTCAATGATAATTTTTTGTCTCATGGTGCAGCGATTTCCCAGATGTGGTTCAATCAATGAAATGATAAAATTATTAGCATACTGAGATAAATATTAAGCCTGAAACAAGTTAAGAAAAAAATTACATGTGTGTAGAAATGTTTATTTATTTTCCACCAACATCTGAACATATGTGGAACACGTTAAACTATTGCCGTGAACCAGTTAATGAGAACAACAAAGATTCATCTAACGGGGTGTGTAGTATATCGTGAAGTTAGGCCAAGAATGGAAACATGCTTTTGACGCACTAACATTAGGATTGAGAAAGCAGCAACAGATTATTCTAGATATTTACAAAACAGTCTGACACGAACGAAGACGTACAAATATCAGGGGGACATATGTGAGCACCCTGGTTAAATGCATCGATATGTCAAAGTATGATGCAAACAAATACAGTTTCATAGAGGATCAGATCCGCTCGTCTGGTGTGTGAAATTTAATTCAAAAGTTCAAAAATCATTTTCGCATTCAGAGGGTCAATAGATACAATTGGAAATTGTTGGAATAGAAAAGGACAAGAGAGAGTGTTGTTTAATTTAAAAACATCATGTAGGACATGCAAGATATTTTCAGTTTATTGGACTTCAAAAACTGGCCCAATGGATTATTTTCAAAGAGATATCTCGAAACGCCATACCCATAGGACAGTGCGGCAAACACTCATGGGTTCATTTGAACGTAGAAAGGATGTTTTAAAACCTCCACCGCAATATTTGACGTATTGAGCATTCGTGGAAACCTTCGTTTGCTGCTTCTGAAGCAGTGTTTGATTTGCGAACTTCTCACAGAATGCACAGAAAGCACAGACGACAAGAAAACAATGGGTAGTCATACAACCGACATCCATTCACTGCAACTGTGTGGAAAATCACCCGGTTCACCGTAGACCACCGAGCAGCTGCATACAAAATTTGTCACGTGTAGGCCAGATGAAAATAACTTAAGTAAAATGGTAAGTTGTAAATTCGGTTCGTGGTTATGGTGTGTGTCCAGCTTACCCTGAACATATAGATATTTAAGCGGTTCGCTGATTCGCTTTCAAAATATGTCATTTCAAAGTCCGCGAGAATATTAAAAGTTATTTATTTTTAATAACCGGCTTCAAAAGGTATTGTAGATTTATTCTTTGAATTTGAATAAAACCAGCTGGTAAACAGCTTGCAAAAAGACACAAACAAGTCCTGCCCGAGAATCCTGGAGGGAACCTTAAGCGAGCTATCTGACGCATCAGACCAAAATCGAATAAAAACAAAATATGATTCATCGATTAGCTTTAGAACGTTAGTGTTTCTCGGCATAAATTATCACGACAAAACAATTTTGCATTACGCATGATTGACTCCAATATAAAAGACAAACAGCGAACAGACAAAACACCTCAACCATTGAACATTTTCTCATTGAAAATTTCAGCAGCTGTACTCGGTTATATGCACACTTAAAAACAACCAACGAGAAAAGTTACAGGCTCGTTGTATCACTTATGCATTGCGATTTTGATTCCAGCGTGTACAAACAGCTGTTTAGAGGGAAAACCTCGGTGTAAATTCTATCAACCGAACCATAACTGACACTCCTGGCAGTTGACATCAACTGGGTAGAAAACCACACCATGACAGAGAAACACATACCTTCCCAGTGGTCGAAAAAACGTTTTCTCCAGCTTGATCAATCAATCGATCAAAAGACAAAGACAAAAAACAAATTCCTTTTCTATAGATGTGTGTCACTGCACAGACTGATATCGGGCTAAAAAATGGAAGCAGCAGCCAGACTGACTTCGGCATGTCAGTTTAACGCAATTGACGCTTCTTTTCCATGAGAGATTAATGGGAGTACCATACGCGAGGGTTTTTAATGTCTGTTTGACGAATTAATTAAAGCTCGGAATAATCAAACTGGTGAATCTGACTCCTTGATGCAACCGTGGATATTCCAACAGGGTGCTCAATTTTTTGTCCCAAGTTAAATGTGTTCGCGCTTTAATTCTTCTCCTTATTACAGACGTGAGGTCGCCCTGGACAAGTGACTGATATGAAAGAAAAGGTCTTACTCGGAAAAAATGAACTAAGCATGCCTTTTCATTCAAGTAACCTGACAGAAAAATTGAGGGTCAAAAGGTGTGCAAAACTGAAACGGTTTACATTCCCTCCGCTCCCAGAGTCTCCATTGCATTCGCGGTGCAAGAAAGTACTGGCTTTTATGACTAAAAGATAGGAATTGATTAGGCCTTTATATCTCCCAGACAAGAATACGATTCAATAAATCAGCT